AAGTCCCAAAACACCACGATTAGGATCCAATGACTGAGTTGAATCTAGTGTATACATACAAAGGACTGAGCCAGACACAGAGTAAACAAAGATCTCAAACTGATGTCTCAGTGACAAGTATCTTGACGTTGTGTTTGTAAGTTCAGTCACAAACCTCATACCTCAGACAATATATAATACTTTAATGTTTCTGTTGTCTGTGCTCATACCATCATAGAAAGTAAATACAAGTTTTAATTTACCTCAAAATTGTATCACTATTATGTCCAAAATAAAACGCGCACAGTTAATTACGTTTTAAGAAACACAGTGATTCCTTCGAACACAATCATTGTATCGTGTGTAGACTCACTTTTATGGTCTCCATTTGGAGATTTTCAAAATGACAAAGCCATAAACTTTCAGAACCAAATAACAAAATATTTTTAGAGCAAACTAGAGGGCTAAGTCAGCCAGGTAAATGCAGGGTTGCCTACCTTCCTCCCATTTATATGAATAATCATGCTACAATACAGTATTTTATACAAATATTCGTTTATACAATATTCTTGTTTATGGGTAAAACTAAACCATAAATTATATTAATTAGCCTATACACTTTAGAGACAAATGGATTGGTGATATTCTTTTTATAAGAGGATACACAATAATTGAGCTAGTGTTTGTTTGGAAAACATAGGCGTGTGTTGTATTATATCAGCACAACTTATGTTTGATGCCTCTTATCGTACCTTCTATTTCTTAAGATAAAGTTTATTTTCTGAGTGTCAATTAGTTTAAAACACTAATCTTCAATATATTAAAAGTATTTTACCACATGTTGGGCGGATATGTGGTATTCATTATTGTTTTAATTGTTTTTGGACTAGTAGAAATAGAAATAAAATATATAATAGCTAACACGCGCTATTTTCCTTAATGTACCCACATTTAAAACCCAAAATAACGTTTTTAATTATTCTTAATCAGCTGTAACAATGCCACTCCGTACAGAAACTTGTCTATAAATTAATACATCTTAATTAACTTAGACTATTTATTTGTGATAAATATAACATAAGAATTAATGTAGTGTGCTTTCCCCGAAATCGCAAAGAAAACCCCCTAAGTTGAAATAAATAATAAAAAAATATAAAAACACCTCAAAACCACAATGGCTCATAACATTTAGCAATTAATAATAATTAATGCCTCAAAACAAAAAAAGTAAATCGGTCCTGGGTCTAGATCTTTCAATGAGACCTAAGGTAATAGCTTATTCCCTATATGGGAAATTAAAAAAAATGAATTAAAAACTTACAGTACTGTACCCGGTATTATTGAAAATTTCCAAAGAGAATCAAATTTTCATAGTACAAGTACAGTATTAAAAAAGGTTTAAATACCTGCTATCAAGCAATCCATTTAATTGCAGTTGCAACTAGTTTCGACTCCTATGTGGAGTCATCATCAGGCGGTACAAGGACTTCTTATTTCTACATATGAAGGCATATAAAGTTTTTTTTATTTTTCCCCATAACGTTCAATTTGACAACAATGCTTCAAAATACTAAATTATTAGTTTTTAAGTTCTACATGATGGCTGTATTTAAAATTGGACATTTCCATGTTTAAAGGGTTAACATTTGAGAAACCCAATTTTTGAACATTCCATACCCCCATGTGATCACATGACCCGATCTTGCTGGTTCGAGAACTCATTCAAGTTCATCCCGACCTACACCTTCAAGCCAAATTTCATCAAAATCGGACCAAAATTACTTGAGTTATCGCGGTCACGTACATAATATATAAAAATTTGAACCAATAGTGTTTTCTCCTCTTGGGACACCAAAATGAAAAAGTAAATCGATCCCGGGCACAGGTTTTACCGTTCCACCACGGCAATAGCTACTTCCCTATGGGGAACAAGTAAAAATAATTATTGCATAAAAACCCAATAACGCCTGTGAATCTAGTTGACGAATGTTTCATGTTATACCACTATGGTATAACCCCTATGGTATGACCCTCACATAATATGGTATTTGGTACTCGCTTCCATTATTGACATTTACGAGAACTCCGTAAAACAACGATGAAATTGTTTAAGTCAGTTCGGAAAACAAGCATTTTCACTGTTATCGTACTATCAGGATGTCTTTATAATTCATAAAACAAAATGTGTTACACCTGTTAAATTAGGTATATGCACGATTTCCTCCAACTTACGCACAATTGTTTGTAATTCCTAATTATAACTTATTTAAATACAATCGTCTATACATCTTTAACTATTTCTAAATTAAAGAACTGCAACACACAAGCAGTTGGTTGAAACAAAGTTTTTAAAAGGTTTCATATCACAAGTGCACAAATGAAAGCTGTTTTTGCTGACAGAACAGATAATGATTATTACCAACGCCCTCTCGTGATAAGGCTATCTTTGTCTGTTTATTAATAAACATTTTCAATTAGTGGAAACACTTCCCGTTGAGTTCAGTAACGAAATGATAAAACATTGACAGAGGCGTGCTAATTTTGGTAGCCTTGGAAAAACATTTTGTTAATCATAATCAAATTATTTATGACAGTCACTGAAAGTAATGACCGAGCCCTAGGGGTCAGAGGTTCAGTGTGTTCAGTGTTACAAACTAAATTTTTCTTCGAGGTGAATATTTTAGGCCAAAACACATATTTATTCTTACAAAATACCCGTAAATAAATATCGACCCATCTTCAATCAGCATAATGACATTAAATTTGATTACTCTCTTCTATTTGTTTCAAATCTTTAGCTAATGTGTTATTCTACGTGAAGGTAAAACTATGCTGTTGTTTCTGGGTAGGAACTTTGAAAACTGTTTTTTTTTTAATTTATCAGTTTATAGGTAAAGGTCATTTCTGTCTATAACTGCGTCCAAGTATGAGCATAGAGATGTAGCACTATTGTATATAGAGAGCGGATCCAGGATAGATTTTCGGGGTTCGGCTTTTCTTATTTTGAGCTGTTGTCCACCCCCAATGCATATCTTTGTAATATCTCATAGTTAAAAGTGCCCATTATAGACTTTGAGTTTGTTGCGTTATTTTATAAAAACTATAAAATAAAAATTATGTAGGCTACGAATACTTTTTTAATTTTCTGCATGAGAGCATAGCCCCTATGGCTCATGGTGGAACCGTTACTGGACCCAGGGTTTACATGTAGTATGGAAGTATGGAAGGATGGTTATGAGTGCTACGCTATAATACTTGAAAACAATATTTACCATTTCAATATGACTTGATCAATATAGCGAGACCTAAATAATTAAGTCAGCACAGAACGGAACTAAATAATAGAGAGTTGTATTCGGACGATAAGTCCAAGTCGATATCAACCCTGCATTCATTCAGTTATTGACATGCACAACTCGGCCATGGGTGTTATTATATAATGCAGGTCACCTGAGACGATGGAGTTGATGACTAGATCGGCAGCATCACTAAACTTGGGCTTAGTATAAATGCCCATTTACAAGCCTATGAAATTAAACAAAAATGAAGTATGTTGGTTGTGGATGTAATTTATAGATAGTCTTAAAAGGTATTTAAAAACAATGGTTTACACGCCGATAGAATAAAACAATCTAAAATATAGTAAAAACAATTGCATGGTTATGCGCTTAAAACATCTTCAATCTCAACCGTTAACAAAAAAGTATTTGATTAGATTATAACTAAACGGCAAAAACATTTTTACAGAAACAAATTGCTAGGTTAAAACAAACGACCCATCAAAAATAAAAGTGGATTTAGATAATCTATACATAGACAGATAACAGATACATAGATTACAATATACAGTAGTAGATCCGTTTCAATACCCAATTCCTGAAAATTCCCTTTGATCAGTAGATTTCCCCTGTGAAGGGAAAATTTCCCCGAGTACAGCATCAACGGGGAGCCCTCCGATTGGTTCAAAATGACATCATCGTGAAAGAATAGGTGTGCGCATGCGCGAACGACGACCTGAAAGCAGCGCCGCGCCAAGACGAGATTAGTGTTGGGATATCGAAAGAAAATATCGATATTTATATCGACGATAATATCGGAGCCTCAATATCGATATTCCGATAATATCGGACCAAAAATATCGATATATCGGAAAAATATCGTTAAAAATTAATGGAATTGGAATGCTATCGCAATGCTTCCCTTTAACAGGAAATTACCTTAACAAACAATTAAAAAAAAAATGCGTTTGAAGATATTAAAACAAAGGAATATATACAGACGGTTTGGTAAAAAAAATATCGATATGTCATCAAAAGAAATCATTGATATAAAAATGTCCCTTTAGAAGGAAAGTACCTTTGTTAATACTGAACAATATTAGCCTATCCTTATCGAAGTTGTCAGCTGATATGTTTTAATTTGTTATAATCAATATATCGGATAGAAAAATAAAATATCGATATTCAAAAAGAAATAATCGATAATAATGAATGTTCCCTTTGACAGGAAAGTACCACCATGAAGAGCAGTTAGCTGCACACATATGACGTTAAATTGTTTACAATTTATAATTTTTTAGGCTTGTGTACAAAAAAATATACAACAAATGAGACTTTAATGGTTTTGATTGGTTTTCACTGCCGTCACCTCATTTTGGCACTCCACTTCTGCCAACCGTGCCAACTCACTATTCAAATGCAGGCAGAGGCAACCAGATTAAAAATATATTTTTAACTAGATAGGTACATGAAATAGTTTGTGTGTTGGCCTACAAATAAATTTGTTATTAATAATATTTAATAACTGCTAAACAAGTTCAGAAAAGATTAAACTGTATTTTATTCTTGCATTATTCTTTGAAAAATTGCTAAAATCAATTCTAACGATAATATCGTAGTAAAATATCGATATCCCGATAATATCGGAAGTCTAATATCGATATAAAAATATCGATATATCGGAACCAAAATATCGATATTTCCGATATATCGGATATCGATACCAAACACTAGACGAGATAGTAGAGCGAACATACTGCGTCCAGAAGGTGGTGCAATTGTTGAGATCCATTATTGATCCTTGTGTGTGCTACATAAGAAATACCCTCTGAAATCGCAGTTGTGTTTGTTTTTTGCACGTTTTCTCTATTAGAGAGCCTTACAGTTCTATCACCTGCCAGGTTCGGTAAGTTTTTACAGTTTTTTAATTATTTTAGTATTGTGCAATAGTTGCGGAGGATTCCCGCTCAAGTGGAGGGGGCCCCACGTGGGTTAGCAACCTGACGTTTCGTATACGCTACCTTACCTTCACCATATTTTGATAATTTTAACATGTACGAATAGATTTACTCAATTTATGATTATTCCCTAAATACTAGGTTATTATGAATTTAAACTATTTTGGCGTTGTCATTACACCCAACTCAATATGAACACTGTGTAGTTTTTTACAGTTTAGTCCGATAATATTTCCACTTTTTTATATACAAATTCAGCTTATTTTTCATGCAATTCATAACACTTTTTAATATTGCGTTTTCATATGTTAGTCTCTCATCATCCATCAGTATAACAACAGTTTGAATACAGTATGGATAGTTATAAAAGTCTAGGTTATAAGTTATTTGTTAAAACTACGCAATATTTTACATAGATCTGGCAGGTTTACTTTTAATTTTCCTATTTAATTTCGTCACTAGTTGAGTGAGGTTCACATGTTTGGTTCCAATTATTTGTGTAGTGCCACGATCAACAAATATTGACTGAGGACTGAGGTAGAATGTTTGTGATTGAAAACTTTTTGACCTTAAACAACTGATTAGCCTATTAAAACATTGTCTCATTGCAGGTTTGGACAAGTTAACTGTCAAATTTAGGTCTCTCCATTAACGGAATGACTGTAGCCATTGTTTTTATGTTGATAAGTTACAAGAATTAAGGAGAGAGCTGCTGTCTCATCTCATCACAGTTTTCGGACAAGTTAATTGTCAAATTTAGGCCCTTCCTGTAGCGGACTGTCTGTAGCCTTGTGTTGTGACGTCGATGGGTTCCAAGAATTGGGGAGAGTTGCCCTCCCTTCTCCCCCCACCACACTGGGGTTTCCCGCGCTCTTGCCTTGGGTGGTACACCTGTCATAACAAGCATTGTTGGCTTGGCAGTGTTAGCACTGATCGGTTGGTACTACCGTACTACTGTTGCCACCAGAGGAGTGAACTTGTACTTCTGTCGTCTATTCTCAACTCTAACTCTGGTTTGAGTTACTACCACCAAGCTAATTTTTCAACTGTTGACATAAAAAAAACATTTTTACTATGGATGCCTGAGTCTACAATCAATGACTTAATATAATCAAAGAATATGAGGCAAGACAAACATTTAGAATTGTTTGCATTTAAATCCATTTAGGGGAAAACAGAAATTGACCTAGGAAAGTTTGCAGATATCTTGTTTCTATTTGCCTGCATTGATATTTCCTTGGGTCATGGTAAATAAATGAAAAAATTTGGTTTATTTACCTCAGACTAAATAAATATTAGTTTCCCACTTGAAGTAATAGCCTAATATTGCAATAAAAACATAAAACTGGAGGATGGGTTTTTATTAAATACCTATAGGTTATTAACCAGGCGGCAAGATTTTGGGGATACTGTTTAACTACTTTTGGAACTGTATTAAGTTTTTGTAAAATGATTGTTTTGTTTTTGATACATTTGATAAGTCTTATACAAAAAGTTAGCTTTTCTGTAGCAAGATAAATATACCATTTATGCACCTGAGTAAGTTTCACCCTCGTCAATGAACATACTGTGAATTATGGAACTATTAAAGTCACCAAAATTTTCCATTTCGCCCATTTTCACTTGTTTATGAAACTAAAGCACAGTACGGTATAATAAAACTTTTCCCAATCTGTTATTTAAACTTTAAAAAGATAAAAATTTTATAATTTTATAATTATTACATGTAATTGGGACCCAGTGGTGACTGATGATCTATTTGGAATATTAATCCTTAAGGCCTGAAATTTGCTATTTTGAGGTCATTTTGTCCAAAACAGCTGTTTGTGTGGATTGTTGTGTCAGACAGGAGGAAAGGAGTGAAAATTCAATAAATGGTCGAACTAAGAGGAGGGGGGCTCCCCTCCCCCTACTTAATGGGAGGACCGATCATGATTACACCTACAGACTTGTTTGCTTGCAAACTTTGATAAGGTTAAAAATAGAATCCTTCCAATTCTAAAATGACTAAAATTAAAGTAAATGGGGTATATTTGCCTTTAAACAACTTTAATTTTTTTTAATGTGGTGTACTTATGAGTTTTATCAGTACAGGTAAATTTGTTGGAAATAAATATCTATCTTAAAAAAGTTGTAATGTGTATTTTAAAATATGATAGTCTATTAAATAATAAAGTCCTTTAATCTTGAAAGTTAGTGTACCAAACCAACTTTCACTGCATTGCTGTTCAATTTTGGGTACCGGTAATATTAGAAGTTCTTGGTTAGGAAGCAACATTTTGAGTGAAGTAGAATATTATCAATATCTAAAAGTCAATTCAAAGTAACTTAAGGAAGCTTGGAGTAGGCTATCTATATAGATGGGAACTTATATGTGAGTTTAACTTCTATATTTGGGGTAAATAAACCTAACTAAAACTAAAATAAATCTTGAATGTTATTTATTAGCGAATTTCCCATATAGGGAATAAGCTATTACCGTAGGTCTCATGGTAAGACCTAGACCCGGGACCGATTTACTTTTTTGTTTTGAGGTCCCCAGAGGCCAAAAACACCATCCGTTCAAATTCATATATATATGTGTCCGTTAGCGCGATAACTCGAGCCAAAATTGATCCGATTTTGATGAAATTTGGTACAAACGTGTAAACCTACATTTATTCGAACGAGTTCGGGAACCAGCATAATCGGACCATGGGATCAGGGGTTTATGGGGGGTTTTATGGGGTAAAAATGGGTTTTTCTCATTTTTGACCCTAAAAACTTTAAATTTCTAAATTTCTCTCTAAACCATTTTGAAGAGCTTAAAAAAACAAATAATTTAGTATATTGAAGTTTTTTTGAATGTTCATTGACTACGGAGAAAATTAAAAAAATTGTAAATTTAAAATTCCCATGTTATTCTTATGGAGAATAAATAAACTATTCTAGTTTGCTTGTTTATGGATATATTTTAATCAAATTTGGCAATTTGGCTTATTTCATACTAAGCTATCAATATTTCAATTCAAAAAAACACACCTCAACATCTTCCCCGCAGCAGCAAACCTAACTACTCACTAAAATTAATGTTATTTAAATAGGAAATAAATCTGAAAATTTATAGGGAATATTTTAGTAGAAATCAAGCCGGGTAAATGGAAATTCGCTTAGTATGCAGGTTTGCTGCGATGGGGGTATTTTTTATATGATATCATTAATTCGGTATTATGCTTTGTTCGTCTCTTAAAAGTACCCAAATTGTGTTTTAGCATTCATTTATTTATTGTTTAAGAAAATGTTCATTCCTTTTTGTGCTAAATGTTAAAGATTCATATTTTATTTTAGAAGGCAAAAATTTTTGTCAACCAAACAGACAAGTTGTTATCAACCATTGTTTTTAAAGTGTTGTTTTGTACATATTTACCTTATCGTTAAATAAAGCAATTTTTCATTTCACTTCAAATATTTAAACAAATATATATCTTAGAAACCTTTAATAATGTGTATTTAAAAATATGATAGCCTCTATTACATAAAAAAGTCCTTGGCCATATAATCACACTGAATGCACCAAGTCCAATGGGAACATGGGGCCTTGAGTGATTTTCATTATTGGAAAGACATATCACAGTATAACCAAACCTTAATAAACAAGGTTAATGATAACAGGCTGACCTATTATTTTTTCGTCCTATTTTGCTTATTAATATACTGTATTTGTATCGATAGGTCTTGGCTTATCATTCTTTTTTCATATTTTCTTCTTTTGACCGTTTTTTGCAATGATTAAATATAATGATTAAGTAGCCTACAGGTACTGAAGTAGGGTAGTATCTAAAATAAATTTTAAAATGTTATTTAATCATTGAAACAATTTGTTATGCTTGTTAACCCTCTAGGTGTCGCATTGAACACCTGTAAATGTCACTCAGTTTGCGAGACTTCTGCAGAGTTTGATTAAAAAATTAATAAAAAATCTAAATGATGACATAGATATATACGTATATTTTCTTAAAGCAAATAAAATTGTCTATCTAAAAAAGTATGACATTTGAGTCTTACCTTGTATAAAAGTAATTTGTTGTTGGTTCAAATCCAGATGTTCCAAAAAAGTTTTTAATTTTTTACATAACCGCACATGTAACAAAAAATCACTATATTTACAAAAACTGAGATATACATTTTATTCTAAATGTAATAAGGAAAAAGAAAATATAAAGTTTCACCCTGTTTTTCTTTATAATAACTCTAAAAATCACACAACAACAGTACAACGTAAACATTCGTTCACTAGCAACCGAAACAAACTTTGACATATGGAAAAACTATCACAAAACAAGATAAATAGTTCGGGAAACGGCTGTCTTTTATACTCACCATGAAGCCCAGAATCTCCTGAACACGTTAGTATGCCCAATGACCGGGTTTGTTCGATCTTGTGGGATTATATCAACTGAAACCGTAGACCTGTCAAGTCGCCGTAATTAAGGCGATTGACACTTGTGGCAAAAAAGATTGACGCCTAGAGGGTTAAGGGTGTCTGCAATCACTTTACAAATTTCTCTATAGGGAAGTAGCTACTGTATTACCGAAGGTACGGTAAGACTTAGATTCATTTCCTTAGAGGCCAAAAAACTATTTGGTCAAATTTTATAAACTGTTTATGTAGTTTAATTGTTTGTGGATATATTTTGATCAAATTTGCAGCCATCAGACAACTCCTGTTCACGGGTGTTTTGTTTGTTGCAGGTTGAGGGAGTCTCAACTCACCTGGTGAGCAGCCACTCAAGCAGCCACCATTTCATTTGACGCTCAGCACAGATCTACTGTGAGTATTTACTCCTCTCATGCCAATATTTATTTATAACTGTTGTGTTACTATAGATTATTGTATAGAAAGGAGATTTGTATGTTTTTTAGTTAGTCTGCAGTCTAAATTTTGTTCTTCTTTTATAAGTAAATACGCATGAGATCAAAATAAATTTTTAAACCAGTCACTACACAAATTTTGATATTGCTTGTCCATATTTTTTTATAACTTGCTTTCTCAATGACAAACTTTCATCATCTCGTTCAACTTGCTAAACAAATATTACAGTAGTTGAAAACCTTAATGGTAAATGTTCAAGCGTTATTCTGTGTTTGTATTCTTGTATTTCATGATATCTTCTCTTTCCATTTACAGAATTAATGGTAAAATAAAGACATCAGATGTAGGCCTTTTCCTGTGCTTATTTGGCAACCTAATAAGAATGCAAATATGTATATATATATATATAAGTTGTGATTCAATTTTAAGAATTACATCTTTTGTTGGTATAATGTCAATAGTCCATGGACTATGTTATGCTGACAGTTTTAAAATGTAATTGGGGTGTGACTTATTATTTATGCACTGAATGGCAAACATTTCTTTACAAAAATTGTAAATGAAGTTCCCATCTAGAATAATCCAATATATCAAACCTTCTCCCCATCGGAATAATTAACAATTTAATTTCTGTGAGTATTTTGATATTTATACATCTATCCCCGACCTCAGCCTCATCTATCATCTTTAGTTGCGACTTTAATTTTTATAGTCAGAGTGTTTTTATACAATAACATGGCTTTGGTCAGTTATTAAATATTATGATTTGTTGTTATTGCTGTTTTGTTTTTCTTTGGTACAGTTGTTGTTGCTATCATCATGTTTCGTAAGTATATGTGTTTGTTTAACTATTTATAAATATTAATATAGGTAGACCTAGGAGTAAACCATTTTCATCAGAGCATACTGTTATATTGCATGTTTTTTAAATATAATTTTTATGCCTCACCATCTATTCCAAAAAGTTAAGTCATGGATTTATAACCTTATCAAACTTATTTTATTTATCTGATCAGAAATAACATTTTCAATTAAAGTGCAACATAAGTCAACCTAGTTAAGAGTTAGTTTTTCTCAGTTGAGATTGGTTAGTTGTGTTTCTGGAAAATCTCTATAGTTTATTTTTCAGTTTTTAAAAGTGCTGTGTCATTATCTTAAAGATTGCTGGGGTTCTACTTCAACTCTACAAGGTTTCTTCATTTCAACATCTTACATCTTCAGTGCTTTTTATTAATAGGATGGCCCATGCAGTCAACAACAGTGCTCATATAACAACTTGTAGGAATATATCGTTTTTACACCAATGACGAACAGAAAAAGGATTTAGCTCGAAATATCCTGAAAAAATATCTGAAGACTCTGATATTATATTTTAAGAAAGATCTGACCTGATTATAGGCCTGTCTGAAAACTACTTTCAACTTCAGCTAAACATTGATCAACATAATGCCATGAGTTAATACAATTCCAAAGGTTTTTTTATATAACTTCAAATGGATTCTAATAGACGTTCAATGATTCCATTTATTGATAACATTACAGGCCTACTACTTTCTGATAAACTGTACACATGTCTTCAAAATTATAAAAAAAATCACCAGAAAGGCTCAAAGTTAAAAGGAGATGCAGTTGATAGCCTCAACATTAAAATAAAAAAAAACATCAAAATAACTTAGGTATATAGCTCTCACTTCCAATGTTTGATAACATCATTTTTAACACAACATTTTTCATCTGTAATACCCCATCATTGTGGAGTAACTTCTGTGAAGAAATAGAAAAAAATAGGTAGCTCCAGTGTTAATGTGTCGCCTTGAAGATACAAACTGATACATTTGTATACTTGCCCGAATTGTAAAAAAAGCTCAATAATTGGACTTAAAAGTAACAGTTGAACAACAAGTCAAGTCAGTTATTGATTCTATTATCCAATCAATTTATCATTGAAGCAATTGTATATCTACAGGTTTGTCTGAAAATATAATACCAAAAGCTGTATTTTTTTGTGGTCGAATCAGGTTCAAAAACTACCCATCTTCAGTATGTATTATAGCAGCTCAGGATGTTTATGTACGGTACAGATGGAGAAAATCATAAGAAATCTGTTGCCTGATATTTACATCGATTGAAAGCAGATAAAACTAAACAATTCTTCATATCAGCGCGCAACATTGTTAATGTGATGCTAAACAACAGCTCAAAACACATTTGATAGTAAAAGTGGGTTAGTAGAAAAACATCAACTAACCTGATGCGTGAAATGGAAACTGACTATAATAAATAAAAAATCAAAACAGGTTAATTCAACAATTTGTAGGAGTAATTTCTTCAGGCTGATGGAACAACACTGCAAATTGCTGGAGAAGAAGAAGGGTAAATAAAACTCATTCATTAAATAGGTTATGATAAAAATTATACCAAAGATTCTAAATTAATTTGATATGTGAAAATATTTCAGGAGGAATGGCCAAAATTGACAATGCTCCGCCATTCCTCTGGAATGAAGACGACGACTTCGACTTGGATCACGTCACATCAATGGTAATTCAAAAGATGTAGGGTCTAAATCAAAGGGGTGTGGGAACGGGTGACGTGATCATGGTTAGATTTTCAATTTTTAATTTAAGCATTTTTTTGACAGGTTATTAACACAATTACGAAGGACAATTTTCCACCGAGTATTTCAAATCAAAATCCATTTATTTGCATATGTCAACATTACATTGCTATAGACGATGTCAAAGAGCACAAGGAATAACTACGGTAATGTGCGTTATAAAAGGAAATGGCAGCAACAAATCAATATTAACTATGAAATATAACAATAAATTTATTCAACTAATAACCAAAGCATCAGGGGATCAAAGCTCGTATATGATTTAATAATTGAAAGCAGATCCTCTTGCCCTGACTAAAGATGAAGACAAAGCGTGATTTGAATTACATTTATTCTCATGAATGCATAACAAGATCAGCAAAATCTCTTGAATAAATATTCATCTATAGCTCAAGAGTATACATGTGACTTGTTTATCAGCCGTTTATCAGACATACTTTTAATCAATAAAATACTCCACATCCCTGTGATAAAGAGGAAACATCATTTGTATGCTAAGCCAATGGTGCTGTTAACTCAATTAAGAACCATGAACTGCTAAGCAAGATATCAAACAACATCTTCTGTATGAATAAATTTAAGATCAGCATCCTGAGCATACATCTTCATTTCCCAGCAGCTATGAGGATCGTCCGTAAATTAAGGTTTCCGTCGCAACCAAGCAAGCTATTTAATCCAAGACCCACTACTATTTAATTTACTACTATTCAGTGGTATAGTTGTAAATTTTACAGTGTGGAAAAATATGGATCTCTTACCAATATAGGTCAATAGGTTCTTTGGGAAAAGCAGAGTGGGAACAGTATTCCCACCCCATTATACTGCTGCTATTCTTGCTGGTTCTCAGCTGGTTAGTTTGATTATACTATTGAAAAATATTGTGAATGAACATTGACTTTCCCTCCAAGTATAGATCCCGTTCTGTGATAAGATTTCTGTGTCGGTCTCGGTTGTCAACTGCTATTGAAGTCCATCACCAGTTGATGGACATGAATGAAGTGTATGGAGGGAGAAAATGTACACTAGGGTAGGTGGAAGTTCAGAGATGGACTTATATGGAGTAGGCAGAATACTGTTGTTCATCATTCTCATTTGCTCAAAGTTAGAGGACTTTGGCGTGCAGATTGTGGTGAGACTGACAAAAGAGATTATCGAACTAATAGGGGAAGTCTCTATAAGACTATCAAGGATTATGGTCACCCTTGGAAGTCAGAAACACACCGATCAGCTAGAAAAGTTTCGTCAAACTTAATAAGTGTCACGATGGGCTTCTGACACCGTTACGCAGATAGAATGAGCTTTTACTTACTCCCCAAGCCACTGTTACACAATTTCCACGTTAAACCACTGCATACTCAACTCCCAATTGGCAACAGTAATCACCAGGGTAATCACCCTACCTACAGAAACCAAGCGATTTATACTTGGAGGTAGCGTCCATTTAAGACAAGATGTGCGATGCGCACTGCTTTATTATTCAGATTAGAAATTAACAATGATAAAAAAATAATGTCTGATGTATAATGTTGTCATAGAAAATGTCTTATCTAAATTGAATCAGATATATATTGATAAAAATTAAAGTTAATATTTAATTTCCTTTGTATGCAACCTTTGTTTCTTTTTAGTTTTTGATTGTCAAACAAACATCAAAGAGATCTTTGTTTTTTTTTAGTTTTAGTACATATCATAATTAAGGAACGGATTGTCAAACAATCATCACAAAGAGCAAGTGTTATTTTTATGATGAGCTAGGCTTGTTTAATTTTTATTATTTGTTAAGAATTTTCTCTGCTGATCACACAACTTGTTAAATTGGCCAGTTAGTATTTCCAATGATAAGATTGTTTTCAATTTTTAATGGAAATAAACTTATTTCTTAATTTTATTTCACAACGACTATTAATAGGATGACCAGACTAATCATCCCTTAGAGATGGGAACACAGCGTTGGCCTCACATTTGAACTAGCTTGCTTGGTTGCGGCAGGAGTTTGACGAAGTCCTTAATTTACAGACTTGTAATAGTATATGGGTGGAAATAAGGACATCAAACTCTGGAGACTTGCTTCATCATGACATTCAAGCTTTTACTGTATTTGACCATCCTTTCTTTGGCAACTTTCATAACTTTTACACATTGAAATTTACAGTAAATGAAATTTCACACAGTGTTTCCATCCTAATGTTACACCCAAAAATTTTAGGATCCGACGTGAGTCACCCATGTTCCTACACCCCAATTAGATTCAGTGGTGGACTGGTGGATAAGACCAACAGATCAACAGTTCAACTACTGTTTAATTTATTTTGTTCTATTAATTGTTTATAAATATTTCAGGTGAGTTATACGTAGAAAAATGTAGTTGTCTTAATTTGTATCAATATTTTGTTTAAATTCTAATTATTGTGTTTTTTAGCCTTAAGTTACAAGCCAGTAGCAGCTTCGAATATATTGGATATTTATTTTATATTGTAAATTAAATATAAAGTTTTTTTTACGACCACTTTAAATTTGAAGTATTTTAAACACATGTTTAGTTTTCTAATTCAAAGATAATTGCATATTCACTTTAAGCATTTCTTGTTAGGAAAATGTCACACAAAATAAACTCTCCAATGGAATCCAGCATAATCCTAAAAATTAGAACAAACGTGATTCTGTTGTCTTATAATAACAAAATTGGACCAATATACTACTTTATTTGAAATCTGCACTTGGTTTCATATTGCGTAAATACTAATTGCTTCTAAGTGTAGCATAAGCTTTCAATTGTCTCCTAATATTTTTATTATGTATTTATTTTGTCTTTGTCTTTTCAGGTGGAAGTGGCGGTAAGAACACTTTTGGACCTCGAGATTGTCATAGTTCCTGGAAAAGTCGTATGTGACAAAGGGTTCCAGTTCGTACTTACAATTGCAGTAGCCAATTCAAAAAAGCGTATTTTATATTCAATAATATTTCTTACAATTTGTTTCAATTGAGATAAGTTTTATGTTGAAAAAATTTGATATGGTCAAACATTTTAACTTGCAGTATTTATAGCTTGTTATTTTTTTTTTCTATTCATATCAAAAACGTATTGAGGTTCATGGCTCAATAGAGGAAAAATAAAATTTCAAGACTTCTTCCTTCCACTAAATAACATATTTAAAAATGTTAAACTATTTAAAATATTGAAAAAATCTTTAAAAAAAATAAAATATTGAAAAAATCTACATGCTGAAGAAAATTAAATAACTCCTGATACATAGTGTTGTTCTACTGACTTTGTTGCACTGACAATTAATTGTCTGTGGGGGAAATGAGAAAGACGGTGGAGGAGAGAGATACTGGTCATAACTCTTTAAATCCGGTCTCAATTTCAAGAAAATGAGCGCAGTATGGATTTATATTACTTAATCAAATAAAAAATGTTATCTTCCTATATTTAATGTTTTTAATTTTTATAATTTCAGGTTATGTTTTGTTTTTATCATCCTTAAAGTTTGTCTTTAAATTGTATAGTTTTTTTATAACAAATTAAGCACTAAATAGTGACATATGTTATAGAGCAGGTTGTTAAACTGTGTGTTAGTTTATACAAGTCATTTTATGTGCCTTTTGTAAATCAGTTGAATCACTTTAGCCCTTACCACTCTCTTGTCGGCGTTTCGTGATCGTATCACACGCCGGCTTCCAGAAAAAGAAAAAAAATGTATGAAAAATTTATTTATTATTTTTTTATTATTAGTGTAATTTTAAGTTAAAATACTGGTAGGCTTAATGACCTGCATAGTAAATTAAAAGTAGGGCATGGGGCGGGGGCCTAAAATGAGAGTGGAAAGGGTTAATTAGGACTAATTAAAAACAAAAGCTTCATGAAGTTGTTGTCATTCAACAAAATTGTCAAAGTCATAGGAAGAATGATAATTTTACCTAATGTGCACTTGGCTGTCACTAAAGTGACTTAGGGTTTTGTATTTATGCTTTCCTCTTTATTGTAAACTTATAATGTTCTACTAATATTTATTTTTTTTTTATCACAAACAATTTCAAGATAGGTTAGACCTAAATTTATGAACGTTGCCACTAGTACCTAAAGATAAATCTCTGTAAGGACATACAAGTACAGATTTTCAATCAAAAGTAAAGGCAAGATGATTAGTTACTTTAAAGACGAATCTGGGAATATTTATGTGTATAAATTATGAATTTTTGGTTGTATTTATAAAAATAGGATGAAAAAAAATCAATTGTAATTTGGATGTATTTTTGTTAGCAATATGTTATAATTAATAAAGAAACTGTAAAATTAAAAAAAACCAAAGTGATCATTTGGAAAATAGTTGTTGGTATTTTTTTGTGTTTTTTTAATGTTTATTTCGCCTACATAAATTTAAGGAACAATCTAGTATCCAAAGAATGGTCGAAGTTGTAATGATTTCACTTGTGAGTTGGTAAGCTCTGAGGAATTCAGAATGATAGTAGAGGCCCTGCTGTTGTTTTGGATTCTGGGGCTACCTCCAACTGTTCACATACTGTATTATACAACTCTCTACACTACTTAAGTCTGAGCATAAGCAAACTGTGGTTGATAAAGGATATTCTATTTAAAACCAAAAGCTCCTGATCATAACGTATTCAAGTTCCACGCTATATTTGAATATATGATAAAATAAAGAAGTACTAGCGACGCTACAGTGTTTTCATTTTAGAGCTACCTTTGGCTTTTATACTCTTATTAGAGAAAGTTAGACCATTTTTAAAATGTCGATCTCTGTATATCTGTTCCCATTCCTTGTGCCTTGCTCTCCGTTTGTCTTATACTCAACTAATGTGTGCTTCTTGTCCTTACAGTCTAGTGCAAGATGCGGCCGGTCGAAGCTGTTGTCGGGTGTGTATCCTGGAGAGAAAGTGACCCTAGCTCACCCTCAGACGAGCGGCCGCCTTGTCCCCCACCCCACCCCCCTCTGGTACGAGAGTATGCAAGACATGAGTGGCTACGTACTGTCCGACACAACCTTGCCGCAATCGGATGAACAGCTCGGCTTAACTATTAGTACAGGTAAGTCTTCTATACACACGTGAATCTTCTTGAAGAACTTAACTAGAAGCTGTTACACATTGTACACCCTCTCTTAACGAACCCCCTCAAGTAATCCTTATGGTGGTGCTACTAATATAAAGCTAGGGTTTCCTCTATCAGAAGAATCCTCTGTCAGAGATATACAACTTAAACCCCTCTTAAAGTTAACAACAAATTATTTTCTTAAGTCTCTAAAGAAGTGTTATGCAGCTCGCTTTGAATGTTTTAAAATAGTATTTGTACTTTTGCCTGACAATCATGTGCAAATACACTTTTCTAGTATTTTGTGGGTTTTAAGACAGTGTTAAAAGATCCTAATGTGACGCATAACGAATATCTGCTTTTTACGTAAAATAATTATTGTACCTTGCCATACCTTGTCATTGTACAACTCGCTGATATTAACATTTTGTTTCAGCACAAACTGAAAATGACTTTTTCGTTCAAGATCCTGGACTTCCATCACCAGAGTTCATTTTGGGAGACACTGAGGGTGTGATAATTGAGGATTCAGATATGTTTGATAACTCCAATTTGGAAACACTTCAACCAAAATCCATCGAGTGTGAATTTGAATCTCCTTTCAGACGAAACTTGTCCAACTACAGTCAAACAAATCACACTAGAACCATCAGTAACATGGGTGAAGAGGAAAGGAACTCTCTACCAAGTAAACTTTCCTCTTTTCATCCGAGGGTGAAGTTTCCCAACGTTAATAACATAAAACCTAAATATCTACAAATAATAGATTCAGAATTACCACTAATTAATGAAGATCCAGATATGTACTGTACTGAAAATAAGATGAATTTTGACATAAACGCTAACGTCAATGTGTCAGAAATCGTAAAACAAGAACCGAGTATCGACCAAGACGAAACATTCTGTTCAGCTGATTTTAAAGATATGGGTGTGGCCCAAGAAGTAGTTGTTAGAACAGAGGAAGAAGACAAACATGAAACTAGTTTCAACGTGTTTCCTATGGAATCCGTACCATCTGATTCTGAGAATGATTTAAGTATCACCGAAGAAATTCCAAAGAAAGAGGCTGATGACGGTATTTACTTTAAACTAGATCCCCTAAGTTTAGATTCAGTCATTGGTGACTTATTCAACAATCTTGGCACAACAGACGACGATATGTACAAGGAAATTGGATATGATTATGGGATTCCTCCAACAATTACCCCAGAGGAAATAAAAGAAGACTATATAGCTGCAAATTCAATGTCATTACTGAAGAACCTCTACATCAATAAGAGGGTATCACCAATAATAACACCAGATAATACTAGCCATGCACATGCACATTTAACTGCAAGTAAAACATCAGCAAAACCTATGGCAAAGCCTCCTCTAACCCTGGATATCGGAGCTGCTAGAGCTGCCCTGTTGGATGACAAAGGGATATCCGACACCCCTGAACTACTAGAAGCTCTCAAACCTGAAGTTGGCAAATTTGACCTCATCAAATTTATTACCACCAATGTAAGTACCTATTTTGTATTGTCTTAAGTAAAGAAATATTTACTAACTTGGAGCTTCAAAATATAAAAATGATATGAAACAGTTTAAAAATAGTATACAACCATAGACAATAGACGAACATCTTTATGTATTATTTCTTAAATACATTAGCATCAAAATACATTTAAAAAATAATGTTGTTCTTGCTTTACAATAATTATTGGTTTTGTTTCTTTGTTTTTCCATTATCTTTTTAGTTTCCTTGATTGAGTACACTGGTCCTAATATTAAATACCCCCGCTGCAGCAATTCTGGAGACAGCAAATCCTGTTTGTCTGATTGGACTTTTAGTCAAATATGTTTATAAACGAGACATATTTCCCATTTAAATAACATTAGAATGAGTACTTGGGTTTGCTGCGACGGGTAAAAAGTTTTTCTTGACTAAATGTCAAGTATTAGTATGAGATGAAATATAAAAAAATATCAATTTTTATTAACACATCACCATAAAAAAGCTATCTATAACAGTTTACTTTTTCTCAATAAGAATAACATGGGAAAGAACATGGAATTACTCCAAAAAACAAGGTACTTCTTGTAGATTGATTTTACGTTATTATTTTCTTACTAGTTGTCATATTTCTTAAGTCATTATATTTCCCTCCTTTGGGTGCATATTCAATTTTGGCAGCTATATGCATTTGCTTTTGAGAAGGTTACAATTCAAATACTTTGCTGTAAAGCTTATGTGTTGTCCTACATACTGCAGCAAATAATTTATACATCCACTCACTGAACACTAAAACTGAAATAGGACGGCCTCTCGCTAAGTTTTTTTCCAGAGGCAGATATTGAAATGAACCCTTAATACCACCCAAAAGTACGATAAATCTTCCATTAAGATATAATAAACTATCATTGTTTACCTGTAAATGTGGTTGAATTTAAACATAGAACTGTTAATATAAGGCTGGCAACGGAAAAATGTATGCAATTTTTTCATTTTATTATCCATGGAAAAATGTCAGGGACGATCTTGGTGTACTTTGTTTGTTACTAGAATATAATGTTACATTATAATCAAAGCCACAATTCGCTCTACAAAAGTAACTTGAATAGGGCCTATCTAATATTCGGTTGTCAGACCTTCTGTATAATTCGACCCTCCCTGTGGAGTGGACAATCGAGCTCCGTAAAATCCCTTGCTATTACGGACAACCCCTTCCTGACAAGGACCATTTTTATTTTTGTGTTCTCATGGTGCATACTACAGTTTGTTAACTTTTCTTATCTCCTTCATCTATCTTTGTTGCCCCTGATGTCTTAGTTCTGGTGCCAACATAGCTTTATGGCTGAATGAACTTGTATTGAGTTATTTTTCTGTTATGGCAGAGGTTTTTTCCTTTTTTCATCAGGCATACATATGTGGCAGCCCGAACCATCAGATATCTGAACCAAACAATAGAGTTTCTATTGTAATTTATTAGTGTTTAGGATATTTTGAATTTTCTAGGTCCAGAATTAATACTCCTTTAAATGTTTAGTTATTAATTGAGTTGCTAATCATTCTTTTTCCACAGGGTGACCCCAACAACAATGCTCCTAGTCCAACAGTGGAGACTCAGCCGAATTTAGGAGCTCCAAGAAAAGGCAAGAGTCACCTATCACTTACAGACTTGAAACATGCTCAGGACCCAGCAAGAGGGAGAGCTTTGTCTAGAACAGGGAATGGAGATGAGGAAGAAGACATCACGTCGCTACCATCCACATCAGCTGGTTCCCCGGCCAAGCGACCAGCACGCCAGAGCGCCACCAGGTTCAACAAGATGATCGAGGAGGGTTTTCTGAGCTCAGTTGTTGACTCACCGCCAGCCTCATCAGACGAAGAAGATGATGAACCAAAACACAAAAGACGGAGAACCACTTCAACAACCTCGAGTAGAAGAAGACTCAATTCAGACTCTGACCAATCCAGCGTCAGTGAGGATGCGATGAAGTACAGGGAGCGCAGAGACAGGAACAACTTATCATCAAAACGGTCAAGGATGAAGAGAAAAATGCATTTAGTTTCTAAGCAGAAAGAACTCAAAATATTGGAGGAAAAAAATGCAAGACTCAGAGAAAAAGTGGAGCAGCTGGAGTCAGTGCTTTCCCGAGTTCAGGTCGTCTGGACTGACCACCTTTCAGGGATAAAAGACAGTGATAAAGACCGAGGCGATGAACACTGACTACAACATGTGGTGTAATATACCTTAGGTACTCTAAATTTGCATAATATACGTAAAATTAACAAATATAAAATATTGTGTTAATGATGATGCATATTGCATTTATAGTCTGTATAGCTTGTGTTTGACACAACAATTACCAAAATACTCCTTGACATAATGTTATACGTTCCTATTATAATTCAATTAATTTCTTTAAGAAACAACAAGCGTATATTTATATTTTTCAAGGAAGTGAGTGGTGCATATTTTTAACTGAATATGTATGAAGGGTGAGTGTAGAATGGAGTGAGATGATCTATGTAGCTTTGTTAAGGCAAGTTTTTTCTTAACCAGGACCATTTATTACGAGCCCGATTATGAAGGACAGGTGGGTCCAATTTCACACATCAAAATGCTACTGTTGTTTTTTTTCAGGCTCAAACCAGCGTTGATTATACTGTAGTATATATAATCTGATGTAGTTATCTAAGTTGTAATGTCACTTGCCTAATTCTGATAGCACTGTGTAATCATGCCAGTAAATATTTGTTTAAATTTTCCACATTTCAAAAGTTTAATTTTTTTTATTCAATATTAAACAATTCACTCCCATACACAGGTTCACCCATGTGGGAATAATTTTGTTTATTTTTAGTAATTAAAAGTCTAAATTGTATAAATAAAGGTTTGTAATATGTCCGTTAATTGTTTATTTGAAAAAAACAATAATGAATTAAATAATCATAAAAAAATTAGTGAAGAAATTATGAATTATTGTTTCTATTGTTATCGCCTTAAGTCTTTATCTGTCTATTCACCTACTTTATCTATATGTAAGTAGAGCATAGCGTTTTTGTACATTTGTGTAGTTTAGGAAGAATAAACTATTGATCTATGTAGTTTGAGATTTATTTTTGCACTTTCCTATAAAACATTTTTGTAAGGCAACTTCCAAACTTCTAAAAAAGTCACAAATATTTTATTTACAGTGTTTGAGTTAAATGAGATAAAATATTAGCACGTGATGTACATTCAGGAATTAAACATTAAAATCTTTCTTTTGATCAATTTTATAAAAACATAAAATTTTTCTGTAGCCTAACTTAGTACCTATGATGGAATTTATTTAAAAAGGAATGTCTAAAATGAATTGTATTTAAACCAATTTTGAGGGCCTTTGATAGTATAGTTTGAGGTGAAATCAGCTGATTTAACCCAAGTAGCATAGCACATTCAGGGGATCATAAACCCAGAACCTAAGAATATAACAGAGTATAACCGGACAAATATAAGTGTGACTGCATGTTATAAAACATTTAGCTGTTTATGGATGTTGGAAACTAAAGGGTGTAGGGAGAAAAAAAGTTTTCCACCATGTTTTTTGCATAGAGGTATTAGCCTGTCAATCTCTGATACGAATTACAACAGTAGACACTAACAGGTTTTCATATGAACAGGACATGACATTTATTTTGATTATGAATAACCCTACTTTATATTAGTATAAACTCAATTTCAAGCTGTGTGTTTTTTTTGTAAGTAGAATTTTTAAGTTGGTTAATCATATATTCAAACAATCACATGAAATATAGAAAAAAACTGCACTTAAAGTAAAACTTAGTCAGATGCCTATTTTAACTTAGAGATTTGTTATTTAAGTTTCTCTGGATGTCATTCAAGAGTACAAATCAAGGAAAGGGTTGTTAATTCATGAAGTGAAAGTTATCTTGGCTTCAAGCCAGGTAAATAAAGGAATAGGAAATAACTAAGTCAGTAAGAAGACTGATATTATATTTGAATACAATACTAGTAAAGTTAGTTATGGCATATGATATGATAATCAAATCATACTTTATTATAGATGCATGATTACCTATCTCTAAAGTCAAGCTAAATGCTCATATTCACTATTTACCGATCTCCATAAAATGATCATACTTCCTTGACGATTTTTTATATTCCAGGTAGGCTATTTAGTGCTAAATATAAGTCTAAACGAAAAAATGTTTTCTTGACTATACTTCTACCAATTGATGCTGATAGTTCTTTTTGTTAAACTTAAGTGAAGTGGTTTTCATCACATTTTTTGTGGCAGAGCACATTCTGCTAACATTTTAAAGTGTTTCTTGTTGTTAAGTTATTGTTTTGTTAATCCAGGTTTTCATTTCAATTGAAATTTTGTTTAGTTTATTATACTGAGCGAGTTCAGTAAGTAACAACATTTTAGACATTATGATGTTTTCAGGAGTAACTGTGTGATAAATTATTTGTGGTTAAATAATCTCTTAAAAGACCTAACCTATAAGCAAATTGACAGTTACTAAACAGATTACTATGTTCAAAAAAAATTACATACTTGGTTTTTTACTATTTTTTCCATAATTTTAGCCATTGTAGAAATACATGAAATGGGTCGGTAACTGCTAGGCAAATTTGTGTCCCCTTTTTTGTACACCGGGACAACCCTTGACAATTTCATAAAAGATGGAAAAACACCCTCTATGAGACAGCGATTTATACAATAAGTGAAAGGATTTAAAATAACAGAGCAAACATTTTTCGATAAATTACTCGTCGTAAAAAAAAGTTCCGTAATTGCGGAAGACGATAAGTTAATGACGCTTCTTTTTCCGCGAGGGATATATCTAGGATTTTGCCGCGATTGCGGAAAAAGTTATTTCACCGTCACCACGGGTCGCGGGAGATATTAGGGACTGGGTCGTATACGCGGGAGACGATGATGTTGTTATCTGATGATGTCATAGGTTTGATTGCAATCACGGTAGACTATGATAGTCTAATCTTTCTCCCATGACTACGGGAAGTATTCACGATTTTGCCGCCATCTTGGCAGACGACAATGACCCCTCGGTGCCTCGGGAAATGCCGTGCCAAGCCAAAGTGCAAGTTTAAGCGGTAATGCATGCGATAATGTTTTTACAGATTATTGGTACAGGGGGCCCAGCGAACAAACTCTATCGCCGCCACTGTTAGATAAACTCGTACTGTACACGAATTGTGAACAGTGTTTAGGTATAATTAAAATAATGCATGACTATGTGTATATTTATGTCTTTAAAAATGTTTAATTTCCAAGTCACTTTTTTAAAAGTCCTCATGATTTAGATATAAGTAGGCCTAACATCTGCTTCACAAACCACTACCAAGTAATAAACAAATAGGAATATTTGTTTTACTGTGTTTAGTTTGAGATAATAGGACTTCTGAATAATTTATAACTTGTCCTGTATAAACTAAATGTTATTAAGTAATAATACATACTGTATAACATTTCAACAGAAAAGACAACAAACAATAAATCAACAACAAAGACTCAAACGTTTCCAGTAATGTGATCGATTATTTTCCTTGCTCTGAATGAAACCATTGCGCCGATTGAACACTACCAGTTGTTTATAATTTATAACTTGATTATTTTGTGTTTATTTGAAGCTAAGTTCATTTATTGCATGTAATTCAATTAAAATGAACGATAAATGAATGAACGACAGTAAGTCTCTTAAGAGACACCTAGCGGCGAATTGGCGAACTGCTGCGAACCTGTATGGTGGTGGTGACACCTAGCGGTGATTTAGCAAACTGGCGCACTATTGAAACAATAATAATAATAGTTATTGTCATTGTCTATATACTATCACAGACAATAGTTTAATTTAATTCCCCCATTTTTCCATACTTACATCATTTATGTAACATAAAATATAGTTTAGTACAACAATAATAAACTAAGTAAATAGCATTGTTAAGATGAACAAACTATTTTTATAACAAGTAATATTCTTAGTGGAGTTAGTTTCTCTTGATTTATATGTTGGAAATTAGAGTTTTTCTATAAAAGTAATTACAGTATGCCTAATGAGTAAAATGGGTCTAGTAATAAGGAAACAATACTTTTCATAGAATACAAATTGTGTTTTAATTAATTCTACTTTAGTCTATACAATATAATAGGACTATAAAATTAATTAAAAATTTCTTCAGTTACATTGCTGGTCAAGAACTTAATTGAATGAAATATTGTTATAAAATCATGGTAGTCCCCAGCAATAATCGATTTTAGGTGTTGTGTTTGAATGATAGCCTTTCTTTATACAGGTTTGGCAGATGTTCAAATGGGATGGTCTTCAAAAGTTCCAAAATCGGAAGATCCAAAGAAAATATTGCCGATCGGAAGTTCCAAAATCGTAAGATCCAACGTTTATATTGCCGATCGGATGTTCCAAAATCGGAAGTTCCAAAGGTTATTTAGCGGGTCGGAAGATCCAAAATCGGAAGATCCAAAGAAAATATTGCCGATCGGAAGATCCAAAATCGTAAGATCCAAAAATACAGTCATAACTAGAAGTACAAATTTATTTCTTAGAGTAAACTTATGAAATAGACTGTCCGTTTCACTTTGGATCTTGCGATCGTATGTCGGGTCGGAAGTTCCAAAACGCTAGAACTGTTGCGTCTCTCAGATTGTAAAGCACGGGTCACACTAGGCTGGCATCAGCGGCGAATTGAAAGAAGCCGCGACTGTCAGCTTAATTTGACCACAAAATTCGCAGCTGACACTGAGCTGACTCAGCCTGGATTGGTGAGCCAGTGATGCTGGTGCCAGCTGCTGATCACCAGCGGCTGGCGAACAGCCTAGTGTGACCCGTGCTTAAGCGATGTACGCCGTAACCAGCCGCGTTGCTAATGTCGGGGAAAAAGTTTACACACTCCAGTTTAGATCTGTATGGAAAAGTAACCAAACTACTTAGAAAAACACGGGTTATATAAAATCTTTCATTGTTTTATTCTACGTATTATTGTAAAAACAAATAATTGTTAGCTTGTTTTTTTTATGCTTACCTCACCCCAAAAAATTTATTGTAAAACGTAAAGGAAAAATAACTGCAAGTATTTTGTATTATAGAAAAAGATTTATAACCTTTGTTGTAAAGGTTAATTATTTAGTAATTGGAATATTATTAATGTTTAACAGTATTTTATGCTCGTTGGTTTTAAAGTAGCTACGGCAATAGGGTTTCTTAGGTGATATGAATTATTTTTAAAAATAAAATCTCTTTCCATTGCAAAGTACATGAATATAATATGTACGTATAAAATGTCATTTCTGATTAACTTTGGACTAGCCTATGTGATAAATAATTAAATGAAACGGGCAATTTATTCAAGTAATTTAAAAAAATGGAAAACATTAAGTAATCTGCAGCGATCAAAAACCTTTCCAACCTCAATAATATTTAATAGCTATATTTAGTCGATGTTAAAAAAACCACGTGTTCTTATTACCTCTTGCTGCGATAAACATTAACTCAAAATTTTGCTGTTAAGTTGAAAAATAGTTTTAAAACCATTTTATTTTACTTTTAATTTTTGTTAATGTTACATAAAGATATTTAGTAAACTATTGTTTGTAATCAATCAGTAATTTCAAAAATCCCAATTAAAACAATCTGTGTATTTTTTGTCCAAAAACCATTTCAACATCATATTTAAGACGTATATTCAGACAATGTTTAAAAACAACATTTTAATTCGCTCTATCTTAGATAAATATTGTCACATAAATTAGCCATTACGTATAACGGATTTTTTAATTCATTTTAGTTTTGTTCTAATTTATATCACGTAAAGGCAATTACTAACATACCGTTTGTATTTTATCAATGGAGTTTCAAAATGCCCTTTGAAGCACTCTTTGTATAGTTTTACAATAATTCTCTTAGCGTATGTATTGGCCATAAATATATGCTATGATTATTTTTTTTACATCTCCTTTTTTAAATTTAACCATCATGACAACAATATTATCAAACATAGATAGAATGAAATACTCCTAATAGAAGAGTTAATATTCTGAGAATACTCTCAGTAGGCTAACATT